GAGCGCCCTCGGCCCGCCCCGCGCGCCCGGCGTGCAGCGCGCGGGGCGGCGCCGCCGCCATCTTGGGAAGGGCCCTCGCCGCCCTCGGAGGGGATTGGCCGCGCGCTCGCCATGCTGAGAAGGTAACCCCGCCCCGCTGGCGCGGCGCCGCCGCCATCTTGGGAGGGTGCGGCCGCCATCTTGGGCTGCGGCGTTGCTCCGCCCCGAGGCGGGGAAAGGGCGGGGAGGGGGCGGTCCTCAGGGCAGGCCCCTCCCCTTTCCCCATCCTTTTCCCTTTTCCCCTTTTTTCCCTCCCTTTCCCCCCCTTTCTCTGCCTTTCCCCCATTTCTCTTTATTTCCCTCCCCTTTCCCCCCTTTTCCTCACTTTCTTTCCTCTTTCCCTCCCCTTTTCCCCACTTTCTTTCCTTTTACCTTCCCCTTTTCCTCCTTTCTCCACTTTCCTTTTCCCCTGCCTTTTCCCCCTCCTTTTCCCCCCTTTTCTCTTTCTTTTCCTCCCTTTCTCTTTATTTCCCCCATCTTCCTCCTTTCCCCCTTTCTTTCCTTTTTTCCTCCCCCTTTCCCCTCTTCTTCACCCCTTTCCTCTCTTTTTCACTCCTTTCCCCTCTTCCCCCCTGCATTTTTAACACCCCTTTTTCTTCCCCCGCTTTTTAAACCCCATCTTTTCTGCTCATTCCCTCCCCTTTCCCCCTCTTTCCCCTCATTCCTTTCCCCCTGTTTCCCCTCATTCCTTTCCCCCCTTTCCCCTCATTCCCTTCCCCTCTTTCCCTCATTCCTTTCCCTCACTCCCTCCCCTCAGTGTCGGGCCCGGCCATGGCGGCTCCCCGGCCGGGAGTGTGGCGCTCTGCCTGGCCGGGCTGGGGGATGCCGGAGCCCTCTCCCAGAGCAGGAATCCCCTCTCCCGGCGGCCCTGCCGCCCCTCGGGGCTGAGCCTGGCACACGGTGCCCGTGCTGGGTTTGATCCTCGCCCTCGGGTGTGCCCGTGCTGTCCCCGCGGCCTGGCCCGGGGAGCGCCATCGGCCCAGCCTCAGAGAGCAGGACCCCGCTAGGGCAGCGCTGGACGAGCACCAAAACACGCAGAGATCTTCGTTAGCGTTTGGTTTCTCCCCAGCGCCAGGTACAGCCGCTGCCCTTCCGCCTCTGGGATTCTGTAGAGGTTTTTGTTGTGTGTACAGGAGAAACAGGCTCAGGTGAGGCTTTGGAGAAGGGTTTTTGTGCCTCAGGAGCAAAAGCTGACACACAGATCTTGTCTTTCACACTTTATTTCTAGCAAAAAAAAAAAAAAAAAGTATTACCTTAGGCTGTTGCTTCAGAGTCTACACGGAGGAGTTACTGACATGAAATACATCAAAGTTGTTGAGGGTGATCTCACAGTTTTTAAAGCGCTATTATATCCCCTTGTTTTTAGCACTGTTGCCACATGGTTCTTGTATATTTCTGCACAGAGTGGTGATATTTTGGTATTTCAAAATACCAGATGGTATTTTGGGCGCAACTGAAGGTTTTGTGTTGCTATTCAGCATCATGAAACTTCAGAGATTTTGGCAAAAACAACGATAATTTACAAACCCTGCAGAGTCTGAGACCTCTTGTGGAGTTTTCAGTTGTTACATCCTTTAGTCTTCCTCCTTTAAAAAAAAAAAAAAAGTCTGTAGTGGAGTTTTCTGAGTTTTGTTCCCGGCAGAGGG